GCAACTCTAGAGCTCTACTGGTTTGGAGATCTTTGCCCTCAAGTGTGGGACGCTTCCACCAGGAAACAACAGTGGTTTTTGTCTGAACTGGAAGATGAGACTGCCACGCGGACATTTAAGCACCATATGCTATGTAGCCAACAGGCCAGAAAAAAGGGACATGGAGTATTAACCTACTGACTGGAGCGATGATCCTGATTATCAAAGGATAACTGAGTTGCTACAAAATGGCAGCAAGAAGGAGCGTTTCTGGAACCCAGGAGATTTTCTGGGTTGCCTCTAGTTCATCCTTGCCTAATAATAAAAGTTAATGGAAAACTACATAGCAACAACAACAATAATAAAAATAAAGGGCAGAATACGAGGACCCATATCCTTTGGGATGAAGGTTTTGGTCATTCTACCAGATAAAGAACCAGAGCAACTGTCTGGTTGAGGGCAAGAAAAGTATGGAATGAGTAGCTGAAGAAGGAAGACATGGGTATATAGGACCAATTATAGAAACGAAGTAGCTTTGTATATTTTCTCTTTGTTATATTCATATGTTTATTTTTTATTTGTTTGTTTATTTATTGAGTGCATGGGTGGGGAGAGACAGAGGGAAAGAGAGAATCTCAAGCAGGCTCCATGCCCATCTCCATGAACCTGGGATCATGACCTGGGCTGAAATCAAGTCTTATGTTCAACTGACTGAGCCACCCAGGTGCCCCCATATGTTTATTTACTTATTTTAAAAATTTTAAGTTTATTTATTTATTTTGAGAGAGAGAGGGAGAGAGACAGAATCCCAAGCAGGCCCCACACCCAGCATGAAGCCCGATGCAGGGCTTGTTCCCATGACCCTGAGATCATGACCTGAGCCAAAATCAAGAGTTGGACGCCTAACTGACTGAGCCACCCAGGTGCCCCCCCCCATATATTTGTTTTAATTCACTACCCATCTTCACTCTCTTTATGATTTTTTTTAGTTTATATTTAAGTTGTTGGAAGTTAATTTTACAATTTAGTTCTTAGGAAACAGAATGGAGCTGTGAATGAATTTGAGGAATAATTAATACAGCCAGGAATAAAAACAATGACTATTGGGACTATGTGTCTCTATATTTTTAGGAAATGTGAATACTTGTAGGATGGATAGCTGTATTCTTGGGTAGAAATATAAATTGTTTTGTTAATGTACAAGAGTTCAAATGTGTATACAAAGGTGCATATAGAAGCTGAATAGCTAAAGGATTGCATTACACCGGTTATTATTTATTGCCTCTCAGCTCCAAATATATCCTTTTTGTCTGCTTTGTGAAAATGGATATGGGCCTTGTAAATGTTTTCCTTCACCAGGTGGCACAGTGTTAAATTTTGTCAGAAGATGATGCTGGAGTAATACTACAGGAGGAAAGGAACTTTCTTTCTGGTTCTGGATTGTTACCTTGTCAGGCTCCTGTGGCAGGTGTAATATTTCCTGTGTCCACATGCCACAGCGCATGGTGGCCAGCAGCTTTGCCAACAACCTCTCGTCCTTGTGTCATTTTGTAGTAGAGTGAGAAATTTCCCCATGAACAACTTTTCCTTGGTACTCTAGAGGGTGGATCTCTGGAAAGTTACAGAGAGTGAATTTCCAGTATCAGTGACTTCTGCCATTCAGTGACCCATGGTTGTGTCCCCTTCAATAAGGTCTGGATGTCTGCTTTGGGAGATGGTAGGTCTTTCTTGGACACTATATCAGTCCTAGTGGCAGTAGCTGCTTTTTATATCTGCTATTTCTTTATATCTGCTATTCTTTAGCATTCTCTTTGTATCTTACTAGCCAATTCCTTGTTATTCTAATCCTCTGTTACAGTTAGTACTTCTTTATATTAAACTTCTCCTGTTCAAATTACTTTGTGTTTTCTGTCTCCTAAGAGGATCCTGACTGACTCACATACCTACAATATTAATACTGATACCAAACAATTCTATTATTAAAACCAGATAATGATATTACAAGAAAGGAAAACTACAGTCTAATATGTCTCATAAAAATAAAAGCAAGAATCCACAACACAATATTAGCAAATCAAATCCAACAATGTATAAAAATAATTATACACTATAACCCAAAGGGGTTTATTCTAAATATACTACGATGGTTCAAAATTTGAAAATCAATTAATGTAATCCATCTCATTAACAGGCTAAAGGAGAAAAATCATATGATCACATCAGTAAATGTAGAAAAAGCATTTGGTAAAATCTAATACCCATTCATGATAAAAAAAAAAAAAAACTCTCAGCAAACTAGGAATGGAGTAGAAATTCCTCAACTTCATAAAGAACATCTATTTAAAAAAATATAGCTAACATCATACTTACTGGTGAGAAACTGGATGCTTTCTCTCTAAGATCTGGAACAAGGCAAGGATGTTCCCTATTACCATTCCTATTCGATATACTGGAAGTTCTAGTTAATGCAATAAGACAAGAAAGTGAAAGATACACTGATTGGGAATGAATAAACAAAACTGTCTTTGTTCGCAGATAATATGAATGTTTATGTAGAAAATCCCAAAGAATCAACAAGAAACTTCTTGGAATTCTTAAGTAATTGGAATTCATAAGTGAGTAAGATCACAGGATATAAAGTTAATATACAAAAGCCAATTGCCTTCCTAAATACCAGCAGTGAACATCTGGAATTTGAAATAAAAAATATACTGTAATCTATATTTGCACCAAAAACTTTAAATATTTAGACATAAATCTAAGAAAATATGTACAGGATCTATGTGAGGAGAACTACAAAACTCTCATTAAATGAATCAAAGAACACCTAAATAAATAGAGAGTTATCACATGTTCCTGGATAAGAAGACTCACTATTTTTAAGATGTCCATTCTCCCCCTAGTCAGCCTATAGATTCAATGCAATTGCAACCAAACTCCCGGCAAGTTATTTGGTGGTTTTCAACAAACTCATTCTAAAGTTTATATGGAAAGCCAAAGATCCAGAATAACACAATACTAAAGAACAACAAAGTCAGAGGACTGAAACCAACCAAATTTAAGATGTACTATATAGCAATCAAGAAGCATGGTATTGATGAATGGATAGACAAATTGATAAATGGAGCAGAATAGAGAACCCAGGCACAGACCCACACAAATGTTGTCAACCGATCATTGGCAAAGGAGCAAAGGTAATTTAATGGAGAAAGAATAGTCTTTTCAACAAATGATGCTGGAACTGGACATCCATATGCAAATTAATTAATTAATTAATTTAGACAAACAACTTATACTCTTCACAAAAATTCATTAATGTTAGACCTAAATGTAAAACATGAAACTATATAATTTCTAGAATATACCAGGAGAAAATCTAGATGACTTTGGGTTTGGTGAAGAGTTTTAGGGTATGATGCTAAAAGCATGTCCATGAAAGAAAATTGGCAGGCTGGACTTTACTAAAATTAAAAACTTCTGGTTAATGAAAGACACCTAGAAGAATGAAGAGAAAGACTAGGAGAAAATATGTTCAAAACATGTATCTGATAAGGAACTTGTAGGTTAAATATATAAAGAACTCTTAGAACTCAACAATAAGAGAATAAATGATCCAATAAAAAAATGCACCTAATCATAGAAGACACAAACAATTATATGAAAAGATGCTCAGATCAGATGTCATTAGAAAATTTCAAACTAAAACAAAAAAATACCACTATATACCTACCAGAATGTTCAAAATCCAAAAAACTGAAAATACCCCAAAGCTGGTGAAGATGAGAAGCAACAAGAACACATTCATTGCTGGTGAAAACACAAAAATGGTAAACCAATTTGGAAGATGATTTGGCAGTTTCTTACAAAACTAAACATATTCTTACCATACAACCCAGCAATCATGCTTCTAGGTATTTATGCAATTGAGCTGAAAACATGTCCACACAAAAACCTGCACACAAATGTTTACAGCAGCTTTATTCATAATCACTAAAAACTGGAAGCAACCAAGATGTCCTTCACAAATCCATACAATGGGATATTATTCAGCAATAAAAAATTATCTATCAAGTCACAAAAAGACATGGAGGAACTTTAAATGCATATTACCAAGTGAAAGAAGCCTGAAAAGTCTGCATACTATATAACTCCAAGTACACGACATTTGGGCAAAGGCAAAACTATAGAGATAATTAAAAAATCAGTGGTGTCAAGGGTTCTGGAGCAAGAGGGAGAGATGAATAGGTAAGGCACAAGGGATTTTAAGGATAGTGAAACTATTCTGTATGAAACAGTAATGGTAAACACAAGGCATTATGCATTCATCAAAACCCACAGAACTGTATAATACATAGAATGAACCTTAACGTAAACTATGAACTATATTTAATAATGTATCAACATTGGCTCATTAATTGTAATAAATGTATCACACTAATACAGGAGGTTAATAATAGAAGAAATTAGGAATGGGTGATGGCACAAGTTGGAGTGGGTATATGGAACTCTATATAATATCTCAATTATTCTATAAATCTAAAACAGAATTTTTAAAAAGTCTCAATTATTTTAAAAACAAACTAAAAGCAAAGGGACCAAAAGAAATAACTTTTTTGGTTCTAATTACAAAGGTAATATATATGCCTTTATATCATATCAGAGTGATTTCAAACAAATTAATATATGGAAAGTATAAAGTTTTTATTATATATACTTTGCTACTTTTTGATCTTAATATAGCCTTAAGTACAGAGCAACAAATTCAGTTTGTAAACAGTGAAACATATTTCATTGAAAATCATCCACTAATACACTTTCCTTTGTACACTGGAGATATTAAATTCCTTCTTAGAAATGCCATGCCAACTATCTTTTTAAAGTTTCTAAAATGTATGTTTTCCAATGTTCTGGTCTTAGTGATCTTACTTAATGGATCTATGATGCTCTGGGATGTGAACAAATTATCTTATGTTCCCCACCTCCACAAGCAAATAATAATACTTTCACCTCTAGTCTTCATATTACGGTTTTTTGTTTGAAGTTTATGTGCAAGATTTAGCTCCATAAATACGGACAGAAACACAGTTTTGACAAGTAACATCAACATCAGGACTAAAAGTCCCAGGACTACAAGCCACTGTAGAGGAAAAAACATAGAGTAGATTATTATAATTTCAGGTAGAGGTATTTTATACCAGTAATATAAATCTGCCCTCCATATCACACTGTTTCTATACCCATGTTATACTGAGTAATGTTCAGCCAATTAAGTTGTAAAAGATTGAGTTTGAAATATTGTAATTTGATCATCTTAAAGGTAGAAGAAAGTTGGAATCCTATTTTTTCCCTTTAATATCAGCACTTTATAGTATCTTCTGCAGTGCCCCATTTACAAGTTCCTATTTCTAATGCTCTGTTTTCTAGGTAGGACCATTCTGTTGTTTTCCTTCATAGCACAGCAGCTTAACTCAGAATACTATAGAGATGTATTACAATACAATACAAAAGAGTGCAGTAGGAAGAATTAATATACATGAAGATAATTATATTTAGAAATTTGGGCTTTGAATTTTACTTCCCTTTAACAAATATAGCTTTGTGAAAGAATCACTATATTCAATTATCCTAAGGGAATTATTCATCTATTCTTCTGACTATATAATCTAATATTTAGATATTTATATTTTATAATTACCGCAACAGCTAGCGCAATTACTGTGTAGACCTTCATTTTTTCCAAAGCCTGGACGACAGCTATCCATACGTACTACTTGAAAACTGTGGTCCACAAAATGCATAGCTGGTATAGTTTTATTAAAGTCATGGTAGTAAATATATGCTTGGCTCCGGAAAAATTCTTCTATCCGATCTCTTGCCTAAGATTTTAAAATACCAGAGAGAAGTACAGTTATTAAACTGTGAACCAAATTTATCCTCCTGTATCAGAGGCAATGAAACATAGTGCAAGCATGTCATGCTTTATACAACAGATAAATTCCTAAAAAGTTGTGTGTAAATACTAAAATTAGTCTAGCCTTGACCTTATCAATTATTGTCAGTTCATATGTACAATGGTGAAGAAAAATTAAATTGAGTTTTAAATTATTTGCAGCATGTCTATTCCATGTGTAAACAACTGAAAGTTCTAATTTCTAATTCCAAAGAGCCAAGCAAACTGGAAACTAAAACTGTTCTCTAATCAACATTAAAACTAATAATGTAAATTTTATTTTATTTTTTGATCACAGAATTTAATAATAATTAACTGAGTGCCTTCCATAAGCCATCCACAATATTAAGGGTGCGGGCTCAGGAACTAAACCAAGAGAGTAAAGGGATTTTGTTAGACTATGTCCTTAGCTTCTGAGAATGGCATAGGGTAAAGCAACTATAATGACCAGTATAAATACAATTTTGGAAGAACTATTGGGTTTAACCTAGGACTACATGATTGTGAGGTTGTTCTTCAAGCTGCTACTTAGTTACCATTTGGGAAACAAAAACCAGGGATCCATTCTTCTATCACAGAAAAAATATGTAATATTAATCTGGAGAGCCATGTATTATTCTAGATGTATTATTCCAAAACAAAACATCTTGAGATAGCCAAGACTCTCACAATTTCTGCTTTAAAAATTGAAACCAGGGGTGGGCACATAGGTGGCTCAGTCGGTTAAGTGTCTGACTTCCACTCAGGTCATGACCTCACCCTTTGAAAGTTCAAGCCCCACACTGGGTTCTGTGCTGACAGCTCAGTGTCTAGAGACGCTTTTGATTCTGTGTCTTCTTCTCTCTCTGCCCCTCCCCTGCTCATGTGCACTCTCCTCTCATAAATAATAAGTAAACATTAAATAAATTTTTTAACAGAGCCAAAAATCAATAATACTTTATATTTTTAAAAAGAATATTTTAAATATACTTGCTTAGAATGTCTATTATTGATAAATATTCACAACATGGAGAAATAGATTTTTGAAGAAACTTTTAAATTAATAAAATGAAGTATTTACAAAAATTTTTTACATAGCTTTTTTTAACTATTCAGATACTTTCCCCCTATACTGAAATTCTTACCTGGAGGATATTATGATTAGTGATATCTTCACAGTCAGTAGAATCATTGCATGCACCTTTCCACCCTGGTGCAAAAGGATTAACTGGAGAGAAAAAAAATGATACCTTCACAAAAGAATTCTAAAAAGTGCCAAAGATTTCAACAATGCTTCCAATGCTGAATTTAGAATGCATGTGTGCATGTGCTTAATCTATCTAATCTTAGTGATAAAGTAAAATGCACAATTTGAATAATTTATACATTATGATTTCACTCCATCTGGGGGCTAATCAAAGTAACTACAAGGCTTTAAAATGAATGAAAATAAATTTGGTTTGATTCTTCTCTTTTATTAAGTTCTCCTCAAAAATACAATTTAACATTTTATAAGAATTTATATATTAAATTTAGCTGTATAGTTAAAGGCCATGTTTATAAAATGATATTGACTTCTAAAAGATAAGCAACAAGACTGGGGTGCCTGGATGGCTCCTTCAGTAGAGCATGCAACTCTTGATCTTGGGGTTGTGAGTTCAAGCCCCATGTTGGGTGTAGAGCCTACTTTAAAAAAATTAAAAAAGAGATAAGCAACGATATATCATTGTTTAAGGTAAATAATTAAAATATTGATTTTTGAAACCATATTGTTGGTAGGACCAACAATATACTTTAGTGTTTAGCAAACATTTAGGGCCTACTATTTGTAAGATATCTCACATTAAAGAAATATTTAAAAAATTTTTACCTTGAAAGGCTATAAATAGCTCATGTTTGAGGCCATGTTTTGGAATTTTAACAAAATGGCATTTATATGATGGTTCTATGACATGGCATGACAAATCAGAGATTAAATTATCCAAGATTTTCTTCAGCACTCGAAAAAGCAGGTCATTATATTTTCCTTCACAAGACTTTGTGGTAAAACGTACAGCCATCTGATATGAATAATCAGGTTCCCGATAGGCTTTAAAAAATTATGAGAATAAAAACAATTGTGTTTACCATTAATTTCTTCCACCAAAGAATGTGCAAATAACACGTAATATTAAATCCTGTTAATCTTGCAAATCAGCATAGAAACTTAATTAATAAAATGTTTTATCAGTTTGTCCTCAAACAATATATAAAATAACTTTAATGAGGGGCACCTGGTGGCTCAGTTGGTTAAGCATCCCACTTTGGCTCAGGTCAAATCTCATGGTTCATGGGTTTGAGCCCCGTACCAGGCTCTGTACTGACAGCTCAGAGTCTGGATCCTGTTTTTCAATTCTGTGTCTCCCTCTCTCTCTGACCCTCCCCCACTCCTGCTCTGTCTCTCTCCGTCTCAAAAATAAGTAAACTATATTTTAAAATATATATAAAAAAAGAATAAACAAAATAACTTTAATGAAAAAAAATTGTTTTCTCTGATATATTATCTAATCAGTACAGGAGAAGAAATGGCTGGATATATAGATAAGTTAACAGTATAAAAAAATAAGATGGAGGAACATCTTAAAATGCAGAAAGTGTCACTGCTTTCAGCACAGAAAAGGATCATCAATTTGCTTTTATGGAATTAAACATCAGTTTTTAAATTACCTGGCAAAATTGTGATAAGGTAAATTATACTTGCAATACCTAGAGGGTGGGGAAGGCTGAAAGAGGATTGTTAAGGACATACTATCTAGATGTCAATTTAAGAATTTTTGTGGTCATTCTCACTAAGTGAAGAGATCATACACTTAATTCTTATCCAAACTAAATATATATTAAAATGTGCCCATATTGGGGCGCCTGGGTGGCTTAGTCGGTTAAGCGTCTGACTTTCGCTTGGGTCATGATCTCGCGATTCGTGGGTTCGGGCCCTGTGTCGGCCTCTGTGCTGACTGTCAGCTCAGAGCCTGGAGCTTGTTTCAGTCTGTGAGTCCCTCTCTCTCTGACCCTCCCCTGCTCACGCTGTCTCACTCTCTCTCCTAGAAATAAATAAAACATTAAAAAAAAATTAAAAAAAAAAAAGATTCTTAAAAAAAAATGTGCCCATATTCTTACCAAAGATCATAAAATCATATCTCTGCTTTACTATTGTTTCTTCCTGGGTTTCTGCTTTGACAGTCTTAGAAGAAAGAGTACATGTGTAAAGTCCAGACAAAGCCTCCAGAAAATCTTTCACCATTAGCTTTCCTGTTTTAGTTATATTTATTCGATTATTTCCTAAACAAAAATAGTAAATTATTTGGTTGTTTAACATATAACAATTCAGACACTAGTAAGCTTGGGGTTACGAATAAATACAAAAATTTAAAAATTAACGCACTACTTAAACATTTAACTTCAAGAATTTTAAAAAATCTTAATTTTGTTATTACTCAATGGAAAGACAGAGGAGATAAGTACACTTTTGAAATATATTTTGGTTTTCTTTAACTCAATTCTTGGCCTCTGATTTCAATTGCTTTATTCTGGTAACTTAGTAAATGAGATTATACTACTCTGTAGTACTACACAATGTAAAACAGAAATTAATAATGCTAATATTCCCAAACACTCTTCTAACATCATAAAAAAGTACATATTGGATACTCATCTCCAATACAGATGCTACAAAGATAAGTTTTAGGTCTTATAAAAACTTTTGAACTAATACCACTCTGGGAAGTAGGATACAAAAGTTTTTGTATGCTGGTTTTTGCATACAGAGAAGATAAGGCACAGAGCAAGATACATACCATGATTTGTCTAAATATGGAGCAAGTGAAACCGCAGTTAAAATTAAGTTTCAGAGGTGCTTGGATGGCTTAGGCATCCAACTCACGGTTTTGGCTCAGGTCATGATCTCACAGTTTTGTGAGTTCGAGCCTTGCATCAGGCTCTACACTGACAGTGCGAAGGCTGCTAGGGATTCTCTTTCCCTCTCCCTCTCTCCCTCCCCTGCTCAAGCTGTCTCTATTCTCTCAAAATAAATAAATAAAAACTTTAAAAATTTTTTAAAAATAAATAAATTTCAGGGTGCCTGGGTGGCACACTTAGTTGGGCAACTGACTCTTAATTTCGGCTCAAGTTATGATTGCATGGTTTGCGAGTATGAGCTCTGAGTCAGGCTCTCCGTTGTCAGCATGGAGCCTGCTTGGAATTCTCTCTCCCGCTCTCTCTACCCTTCCCCCTCTTGCACTTGCTTGGGTGCTCTCTCTCTCTCTCTCTCTCTCTCAAAAATAAACATTAGGGGCACCTGGGTAGCTCAGTCAGTTAAGCATCCAACTTCAGCTCAGGTCATGATCTCACAGTTCGTGAGTTCAAGCCCCACATTGGGCTCTGTGCTGACAGCTCAGAGCCTGGAGCCTGCTTCAGATTTGTGTCTCCCCCTCTCTGCCCTTCCCCTACTCATACTCTGCCTCTCTCTCAAAAATAAATAAACATAAAAAAATAAAATAAACATTAAAAATTTAAATTTAAATTTGTTCATTCCAGTAAGTGACAGAGCTTTTCTTCAAAAAAGAAAAAGTCTACACTATCAACAATAACCAAAGTATGGAAAGAGCCCATATGTCCATCAATGGATGAATGGATAAAGAAGATGTGGTACACACACAACACACACAATGGAGTATTATTCAGAAATCAAAAAGAATGAAATCTTGGCCATTTCCAACTACATGGATGGAACTAGAGGGTATTATGCTAAGTGAAATTAATCAGTCAGAGAAATACAAATATGTGATTTCTCTCATATGAGGACTTTAAGATACAAAACAGATGAACATAAGGAAATGGAAGCAAAAGTAATATAAAAACAGGGAGGGGGACAAAAACATAAAAGACTCTCCACTACGGAGAACAGAGAGTTACTGGAGGCGTTGTAGGAGGGGGGATGAGCTAAACGGGTAAAGGGCATTAAGGAATCTACTCCTGAAATAATTGTTGCACGATATGCTAACTAACTTGGATGTAAATTTAAAAAATAAATTAAAAAAAGATATTTTAATGGAAAATGATGAGAATGAAAAGAAAATACTGTAATAGATCCCCCCGAAAAGTCTACATCATTTAAAAAGAAGATACTAAGATCAAATAAATTACCTGTTAATGGCTTTTCATTAGGCCCAATCCATATGTAGGTAGGGTCCACTATTTCTTTTTTAGCACGTTTAAAATCCATACAGGCAAGGATTGGGCTATTGTGATGTAATTTTACATATAATTTCACTGTGACAAAATAAAAATATAGCCATATTATTAGCAAAATTAAGAAATACATTTCCTACCATTTTGTCTCAAGGACACACTAATTCTTTTTGGATTTCCCTATTTGAAAAATGAGCATATCATTATAACATTTAGAATACTAAAATAAATTCTTTCTTGCTTCTTACAGGCTTTTAAAACTCTAGGCTGATAGTCAATTTTCTTTTTTCTGTAATATAGTTTTGTTTATAAAAATGTACATGACACATTTAGTTCATTTTAATGTACAGATTCAGGACTCACTTGAATCAATTTTTTGGAGGGTTAGTGGAATCGATTTTAAGATCAGAAAAGGGGGTCCCTTGGGTGACTCAGTCGTTGAGCATCAGATGCTTACTTAGTTTCCACTTAGGTCATGATCCCAGAGTTCTGGGATCCAGCTCCATCCAGGTCTGGCTCCCGGCAGGTAGAGCCTGCTTGGGATTCTCTCCCTCCCTTTGCACCTCCCCGGCTTGCACTCGCTCTCTCACAAAATAAATAAATAAATAACTTTAAAAAGAAATAAAAAATAGCCTATTGAATGCCAGGTCCTGAACATACAAAGAAGGTACCGTCCCACGGTTTGGCAGGTGGTGAAAAGGGGAGGGGCTCCAAACATGGAGAGCTCCAGACATGCCTAATGCCCTAAGTTTTTCCAAAGTTAGCTTGTGTGACCAATTTCTCCTTGGGGAGTGTGGGAAAGTGTTATCACAGAGATAGGAGACAGCTGAGCTGAGCCTTAAAGGACGTGTAGCAGCTCCAAACAGAGGAGCTTGCAGCCCTGGAAATCACTCTGAGTGGGTCTTGCATGTTGCAAAGCAGTAGAGACGCCTGGAAGAGAGGTGGCATCAGAGAAGGATCTGGATTGAATCCTAGCTCCTTATGAGCTGTGCGACTTTAGGCCAGGTGATACACTAAGGCGTAGCAGGGTCCCTCTAAGGATGAAAGGACGCCGAGTGCCAAGTACCAGGTGAACGTTCAAAGAACTTTCTCTCCCTTTCCCTTCGCTGGAAGAGCCTTAAGCAGGTTCACTGCTCCCCCCGCCCCCGCTCTTCTGATAGACTCTGCGGGTGAAGAAGTCCTCAGTACCTGGGTGTCCGGGCTTGCCATAAATGAAGCCTTTCCTCGTGCGTTCGGAAGAACGCTGACCTCCAACTGTGGAAGAGAGAAACCACTGACTTCTTAGATAGAAGAGGAGCCGGGGCTCAGAGTGGGGTTAGGGCGGAGAGAAGCGGAGCGGGCAGGACTGGGAAGGGGGACGAGACGGTGGCCGTGGCGGGAGGACCGAGCGGGAGGACCCTCACCTCCAGTGAGGTACCAGAGCACCGCGGAGAGTAGGACCCACGTTCGCATCACGGCTCAGGGACTAGCGTCGAGGGAGGCGTCCAGGGGCGGGCTCTTTCCTACCTCAGCCCCCGCCCAACGCCTCCCCATCTCTCCTCCACAGAGCGGAGCAAACCGCCGGGGGGCAGCTCCCCTACCCGTCCGTCGCTACAGCGGAGCGGACGCGCAGGAGAGCGCGCGTGCGCGCTCCGGGGCCTCGCTCAGGGGGGCGGGCGCGGGCGCGCGCTGGGCCCCGAGCGCAGGAGGCGAGCGCCCCGCCCTCTCGCGCGCACGAGGCTGCCCTCGTGCGAGTGCCTCGCGCCTCACGCCTGGCGTCTTTTTCCCCGCGCTCTCCGTGACTTAATTCTGTGAACAGCTCCTGAGAGAAAGAAAGAGTAAAGTTAAAGAAGTCAAGGTTGCACGTTTTCGGTTACTTACTTTTCTGGAAGCTGAAGAGATCCACCAGAGGAACATTGTGGGTCCCCAGTAGGACAATGGGGTAAGGCGAGTGAGAGATGCCATTACATTAGGACCCGAGGGAGGGAGACGCGTGGGAGAATGTCCTCCCCCCGGGAAGCAAAGAATTTGTGGAAATTTCCTGGGCCTTGCTTCTCATGAATTCTGCCTGAAGTTGTGTGCAGAATCTTTTCCAAACTCTTCCACCCAATTGTTACCGAATTGCATTTCCTAGTCTCCCAAACGAGGAACCTGAGGAACCACGAGTGCGTCAACAAGGCCGCTCCAGCCCTTCCCGCTCGAGAGGAACATTTAACCTTTATTTTCCACATCCCAATACCAGAGGGTGTTGGGAGACCCCCATGCAAATTGATCTAGGGTTGTGAAGTAAGCTTGCTTTTGAAAACGGGACCATCTGAAAGGGCAAGATCCCCAACTCTGCTTTCCCTGTGGGGATAGGTGACAGATGAGTCAAGATCACAGGGCTCCGAAAGAGACCATGGCGGTGTCTTTCACGGTTCCTTCTTGGCTACCAGGTTGGTGGCCTGTTTGTTGTCTATTTCTTAGCAGCGGGACACCCTCAGGGGTGGTTTTGAGTAAGCTGGTGGGTAAAGAGACCAAGGTTCAGACTGGGTGCAGAATGATTATTTGGGGTGAGATCAAGAGTTTTCAGTTTTATTTCCTTTGAGCCAAGTCAGTACTTGGACTATCTCAGATGGTCCAGGAGCAACCTTTGTCAGTGATTTCGTTTTGAGTCACTGTTAATTATACCTACATAGCCGAAGCCATGAAATGTGACTCAGTGAGTCAGATCCACCCATGTCAGTTACTGTATCTAGATTCATGGTTTAGTCTCAACTGTTCCCTTCTTAGGGTGGTGATAGTGGAGACAAATTTAGGCACTGTGTTTAATTCTCTGGAATTAAACTAAGTCTGGAAAGCTGACTTTCTAGTATTAGTCAAAGTACCTTTGCTAGCTTCCCAGTGATTATAAGTAATCGATCCTTATAAATCCTGTGTGATAAACTTTGAGTACTGTGAGAAGAGACTAAACCAAATGAGTTGTAGTTGCTTGTTGAAAGTAGTTGTCCATTCTTCTAAAATAAAGTTTTAATTTTAGAGCAGTTTTAGATTTATGGAAAAATTGGGAGTATAGCACAGAGTTCTCAGGTGCTCCCTCTTGGTTTTCCTACTATTGACATCTTACATTAGTATAGTACATTTTTTTACAGTTAATGAACCCATGTTGATGCGTTACTATTAAACAAAGCATCTACCTTAGTTTCCTTAGTTTTTACTTAATGTCCTTTTATTCTGCTCCAGAATCCCATGCTACATTAAGTCATCATGCCTCCTTAGGTTCCTCTGGGCTATGACAGTTTTGTCAGACATTTCTTGTTTTTGGTAACTTTGACAGTTAATGACAATTTTGATGACGTTGACCTGACCTTAACTGGTTAGGTACTTTGCAGAATGTGTCTCTATTGGGATTTGTCTGATGTTTCTCATTATTATACTAACGTTATAGATTTTGGAGTGGAAGACATAAAGCGCCATTCCTGTCATATCAAGGATACATACTACCAACATGTTTTATCACTCTTGATGTTATCTTGCTCACCTGGCTTAAGGTAGTGCTTGTCATGTTTTTCTACTCAAAAGTTACTCTTTTTCCTCTCTTTCATACTGTACTCTTTGGAAGGAAGTCACTATGTGAAGCCCACACTTAAGGAGTGGGGATTTATGCCTCACTTCCTTGAGGATAGAGTAGCTAGGTAAATTATTTCATCCATCTACTTTTTATCTATTAAGTACCATTCTCTGGAGTCTGAAATACTCCATTTTGAACTATTTACAGAGTAGTAACATGTTCCACTGCTAAGTGTAATAAAAGTTTTTACATCCTTTTAATAACCAAATAACTATTCATCCTTAAACCATCCCTGTGATATTTTACAGTTCCTCTTCTGCTACTTTTGATGTGCTATTTTTGCTTTTAGAAACTAACAAACAACAAATTTCCCCTTTCAATACTATAATTAGACTTGGTGTTTAGAGTATTTCTCCAAAATTGACACTATCCTGTAGAACTCCAAACCATATAAAGCTACAGAGATACCACCACCCTGGTGTCATAATGTTAAAACAAAGCCAATGCAAGTTATTTACTCATTAAAGAAAAATTGCCTACCACACATATATATGTGTGTATATAAATATACATGTCAGTGTGTGTGTGTGTGTGTGTGTGTGTGTGCGCGCCTCTTATACCAAGGCATATTTAAAATAAACTAAAATTCATAAAATTACGACAGGTGCATTTTAACTTGTAAGTATCTTCTGATATGGTCAAACTCCCAACCTTAAGTTTGAAATATACACTAACAATATAATTTTCTAGCAAGGGTGGAAATGGCCTTTATGAGTATCATTCACATGTTGTCCAATTCAAAACAATGGATATCTTTATAAGGATTCACCAAAACAATGTCCCTTAGACTTCAATGTGAAGAAAAGTTCTGCTTTTGAAATATTGTTATATGGTCACTTCCTCTTTCCTTTTCCTATAGTCAAATTTGTGCTTTACCTCTATAAAGCAGGAGGGATGTTGGGGAAAGATGTTGACTGGTACATTTTTGTGCAGTAACATCTTTGAGTTAATTTTACTGTCTTATCACTGCCCCCCCCTTTAGCTCTATTTTCTTTACTTTTCTGATACAGTATTATGTATATATATGTATTTTTTTGTAAGCTGTCTTAGATCCTCCTTGGAAGAAGGCAGAGTAATAGAAAATAAATACACAAAAATAGAGTGCATAGTATTTTGTGAGGGGTAGCAACATTTCACAGACAGGAAAACAAAAGTGAGAGAATTTTTTCTTCGCGAAATGAAACAGTTGAGTTGATAAAAATGCCCCAATCCTTTTGAACTTAGAATTTTCTGAAAACTTGGACCAAGAATTATCACGTGAAAAGAAAAAGCTGAGGAAGAAAAACATAATACTACGAATGAAGTGTGTTCTCTTTGATAGGTTTAACGGCTATCATCCCCGAATCTAGACCAAAAGTTCCAGATCCTGTTAAACTTAAGACAAACCTCTTTGAACTTAAGCTTGTAACAAAGAATCTAGAGCTTCCCCCCCCCCCCACCCCACCCCCATATATTACGCTCCCATTCATTATCCTTTCTTAGACACTCTGGGACAATTTACTGATGCGCCATTTCCATCCTGAGTTCTCGGGTTTGACATTCAAAAAGGGGCTGGAGCTGCGGAACTTCGGGTGCTCCGCGGTGAACGTGCTTTAAAGCCGTCGCCAGCCAGCGCCGCTGTAACCCCGTGCACCGGCCGGTCGCCCGCTCCTGCCACTTTCAATCTGCGCCGACGCGGCGGCGCGATCCCGGGGACTCCCCGCGCCGGGAATCTCCCGCCAGCTGCGCGCTGTGTCCCGGCGACGGCAGGAGCACGTGGAGCGGCCGGGTAGCCAGAGCGGCAGCTCCAGCCCAGCCCAGCCCAGCCCGGTGGCGAGATGGAAGGTGAGCCTCCAGCCTGCTTCTTTTCTAAGGGGTCTTTGAAAAGCTCGACCTGTGCATGCAGTAGAGAGGGTACCTTCGGAATCTCGGCTTTGCTTCTATTTATTTCTTTTGTCAAAAGTAAATATGAGGCGTTTCAGAGGGCAAAGCGTGTCAGTTCTTCTACATCTCTTATATTGCTCCCCCCAGCCCCCACCTAACTTTGGAAAGTGATAACTTCTCCGCAATTTTATGTCTTAGGGGTTGTCAGACATGAGGGCTCAACTTGAAGTCTGCAGAGGAAGAGTACTTATGGGGTGTCCCTGAAATTGGCAGCAAATTGGAATAATTGATCCTTTTGGATGCTTTTTTTCTTCCATGGTCTCAGTGTCCATTGGATTCAGCCTAACTTGAGTGACTTATTTAGAATGAAAAGTGACAGTTTTCCTTCTTCTAAGAGTAAATGCTGTCATACGGGAAAGGTAAATTTTAAATTAGTTGGCATTTGTGGTTCCCTTGGAACTCGATCTTCTAATGATCCTTCTTTATCCAAAGCAAAAATCAGTCTCAATTAAAAAGTTTCATTTGAATTAATTTTGAAAGTCGTGAAACTATCCTCGTTTCTCAAAATTTTTTGTATATACTTACTTGGGATAACTGAAATTTTACTTCTGTAAACTTTTCAACAAGGGTTTGTAAAACCCTGAAAATGGAAGATACATTTCAAGTTGGGGAAGGTGCTGATATTTGGAAAACTAGAATTTGTGAGAAACGTATTCATTCTCTTAATAAATGATATACTGACACCTAATTAAAATATTAATTTGCTAAATATTATGAACAACATGGATTTTTTTCATAATAATGAATCTTGATCTTTGGCAACTCTAGACCTAGAGAATATGAAGTTATTTAAATTTAATTAAATACTTTGGGATACAAGATACATGTGGTAGAACTTTTTTTTCTTCAAAATATAATTGAGTACAATATTGTGGTCCTGAATCCTCAGTTTGTACCTGGTTATGCTTACAATTTTTCTAACTATCGTGGCCCATATAAAAATTTTTTTTAAGCAGAATGTCAAACAATAAGTCAATGAACAGTATGTGTTTAGTATGCAGAGGACAACTTTTAGTAGCCATTATTAATAGTGCTTAAAGCATATTCTCTTATGAAAAACTATGCTTTTAAAATTTTTAATTATTAGGGTTTAAAAATAACTCTTAAAATTGTGACCATGAATATTTTAAAAATGGTCTATGAAGTATAATTGTTAACATGTAAAGACTTTGTTGGCCAAGAACAGGAAAAAAATTAGGTCACTATACACTATGAAAAAAGAATTTAAAAACCTCTCATGCTTTGATTATTATAAATGAATTGCTGAATTTATTTTTGTGAAGTTATAAATCAATATTCAACACTATGTTTTTCTTATTCCTAATCATTTCACTTTTCCAGGCTAACATGCAGAATAGAGTAAATCCATGGAAGCTAGAGTGTTTCCTTGTAAATGTTAATACTCTTGAATTCATTTATTTAACATGAAATAAATAAATAAATAGCATAATTTGGGATAGTAATGACCTTAACAAAGACTTCTAGATAAGCCTGAATAAAGGCTCTCTGAATAAGACAGGAATGAAAACTTGTATAGAATTTGATTTAGAATGCACAAATTATGAATGAAAAGACATGGAATATAGAATATAGGCAGTGATCAGCTATGAGTTTATATGTCTAGATTAAACTCCATAGAGATGGATGGTATATAGTATGCTTAATGCAAAAACTTAAAAGCAAAGAAAAGGTTAATGATGTGAATTTGGCTCTTCTAATATCAGGTCCTTGAGGACAGAGTATTTGATGCAGTAAAATATCTAGTTCATTATAGCCATCCAAGTTTGACTAATCTGGCCCATGTGTTTGATACTTAAAATATTTTTATATTATCTTGACATTTTGGTCTCAATATAAAGAGATTTGACCTGGAAAGTATACTTCTCATTTCTTGGCAGTATAAGAAAATAGAATATTTTATGGAATATCTTTATTTTCTGCCTAATTTGATGGTCAAATTAACACGCTACAGTTTATTGTGAAATGTGAAGCTGTTTAGTTAGTCATTCCTTCAATATATAAAATCTTTTAAAATTCATTCATCAATAGGTGTTTATTGAGACTTTCTGTTATGAAGATGTCAGATGAAATAAGCTTTGAAATTGAAATTTTGTCATGTAAAAATGAAAAGTTAATGCATGGAATAAATCAGAAGCTTTAACTTTTTTCTTTTCTCATAATCTGTGATCCTAAATATTTTCTATCCAAAGACTCTTGATGTTGCTAAGTTTTGTTATTTGTGTTGTAATAACAGTATCTTCTTCTTTCTGTTATGGTTGAGAAATGAGGTGGTTCACAAAAATGAATTTCATAGGTATTGGCATGTTTCTCCTTTAATATAAAACCTTTCTATTTAAACAATATTGGATAGAGCTCTTTCTAAGTGTATTTATTACACAGCCCCCTGTCTTATAAACAAAGTACATAAGAAATCACTTTATCTTGGTAGCCCTGCATCACTATTCTGACCATCAGGTAATGTTCTATAGTATATATTTATGGGAGGGTTGAACTGTGCAGAGCTGAATGCCCCTACTCTAAATATTCCAGGGTTATTGAACAGATTTTGTCTTCTTCTAGATGTCAGCTTCTGCTTCGTATCACATGGCTTTTGTGGAAGCCATTTTTCACTTCTAGGTCCCTTTCTATGCTTTGGATGGTTGAGTTTTATAGAGATATAGCCTCCAAATGGTGGAGTTTACTAGCCCTCCATTATAGCATATGAAGGATGAAATGGTAAAATTCAAAGGAACAAAAGTGACAGAAAGGTCACAGGATCCTGACAGAATATAGTTTTAGAAAATTCCTGTTTGTGCTTCCTATGATCCAATGTGCTATTTCACACTTCCATGTCTTCACTAAAATTTTCAGCCCATTCTTTACCTGGTTATGCCTACTCATCCTTCACTTCACAGGTGCCCTCCTTCTAATGACCTTCTCTGATGCCTTCTGGTGGTCTCCCTACTGGTCCCTCACCTCCCTTCACCTAGGCTAAGGGCCTTTCCTTTCTGTGAACACTTCTGCCAATTGTATTTATGGATTTAAATGTTTGTAACCCCACTAGTCTTTAAGCTTCTAGAGGGCAGAGAGTATGTTTTATTTCTGTGTGCTCAGTGTCAGAAATAGTTTCTGGTTCATAAAAGACCCTCAGAGCTTGTTGGATTCTATTAAGAAAACAGTGCTGAAAAGTAATTTTTGTTAGGTTTATATAATGCTTTTTATTTAATTAATTTCTATGAGTAGGTGATTGGTGCTAGCAATTCTTTGATAGAACTCAGAAAAATTTTTAAGTTTAAATGGTATAATAAAAAAAGCAGAGAAAACAAAAATGGTGGCATTTTTTTGGTTTTGTTTGTTTGTTTTTGGCTAAACAATCCCTAAAGCCAAGTCTTATCTATTAACTATACCTCAGCATAAGTCTATTAAAATATGGATCAAATTGGGGTGCCTAGGTGGTTCTGTTGGTTGGGTGGCCGGCTCTGGCTCAGGTCATGATCTCGCGGTTTGTGGGTTCGAGCCCCGCATCGGGCTCTGTGCTGACAGCTCAGAGCCTGGAGCCTGCTTTGGATTCTGTAATTCCCTCTCTCTCTGCCCCTCCCCCGCTCAAGCTCTGTCTCTCTCTGTCTCAAAATTAAAATAAACATTAAAAAAAGAGTCTGATTTAAAAAAAATGGATCAAATATGAGCAGAAATTTGCTTTCTCAATCAGTAAGATAGAGATGAGACTGTAAAATTAGCATACAACTTTCCAGTAATACCTTTTTAATACATTATTATAAACTTGTTAATATATTAACTGTATATACTCATTTATTTAGGACTAAAATGTTAGTCATAGATCTTTTACCAGACATCCAATGTTAATTGGCTTCTGACTCAAGCTGTGGTTCTCTAGACCAAGTAGAAGAAATGAGTGATTAATACAGAAACTTGCCTGTAGTAGGTGCTCAATAAATGATGTTTTCATGCTAAGTGTTCATTAATTATTGTGAAAAGAGATCCTAAACATCACAAGGACATAGAGTGCATTCTGCTATTTAGCTTTTTAAAAATATAACTCTTCATTTGCTGGTATATTTATAATAATTAAATACCATAAGGCCTTTTGAATCACTAAAAAAAGATGAAATAATGAAAAAATAATTATATTTCTATTATATGTATATTATTTGAAATGTAAGCTACATATAACTATTAGTTATTATTACTATATAATCTGTCAAAATATTTTAATCTCCAGTGATTATGGATAATTTTTCAGCCTTAATTGAAATCTGCTTTCTGCATCCAAAATTATAGTTCTGAGAGTCCAAAGTGTTGTAGAGTAAATCGAAATAATTTGGAATTGGTACCATATTATATTGGATATGTGTTTCATCTAAGAGACATAAAAAAGTGTTTAATAAAGGACATGAAACAGAATAAAATGTATTTATGGAACAATACTCTTCACTCGTCAAAAATTCAAAATCCACTTACCTCCTGATTTTTTGGAAATGGCAGCATATTACAAATTGTATTTGTTAATGTATGTTCTTAGAGATGAAATTATTGGTACATCAGATTATCTGTGGGTTTATAAAGGAAACTTTTTTAAAATAAAGGAAATTGAAAATAAAGGAAAATTTCAGTAGTATCACTGATGAAACAATACAAAGTTACATTTTTTAATTATAACTCTTAATTATCTAAAGATTACTTACCTAGATTTCTTGCTTATTTTGGTTGTTAACAGTCTGTAGCCCTTCCTAGACTGTCAGGTTCCAAAGCATAGGCATTTTTTTTTAATCATCAGCCCATTCCTCAGTACATAGTACAACTACAGTCACATTTATTGAATAAATAAATGAATGAATTGCCTGTGTGTTTGGTCATTTGATTATTTGTTCAGCTTTTAGGGC